AGTGTATTGTTTGAGGGGACCTCTTTTTGTCATACCTCCTTCAGCATAGACTCTCTTATCTTCTAGCATGTTGACATCCTATTCCATTTTCGGCTATCCTCCGAATAACGGGCTCAACAAGATGACCTCCGCAAAAACATCCTAACAGAGCCTCAGTCACGTGTCAATTGAGCACTTCCGGCGACTTAATTTGTAGTTTTCCGCTGACTACCGCCACCGCCGAGAGTATCCCGCACACCGCTAACACAGCGTGGATTGGGGCTAAACTAGATAGCTGGGACTCACGAGCAGCAGCTTCCGCATCTCTTGCAGCTTTGCTCGTGAGTCCTTTTTCATTTCCTTTACCAGTACATTTTTATTTCTCTTTGTTTCCATGATATACAACCTATTTTCTGTATATCTGCATCTTTGTTTCGTAAGTTGTAGGTTAAAATGTCTGGCCATGTTTGTAGTGCACTTAGACCAAACAGAACAAATGTAATCAAAGTCTAAGATTGTCTCATTTGTTTAATTTAAAAAAAAATTTACTAGTAATACCTACCTAACTCATGGGGAGGGGGGGGGGGGGGGGGGGGGGGAGGGGAGGGGGGGGGGGGGGGGCTGGAGGGGGGGTGAACAGTAGGTCTGGATGATACCCAACTCACAGTGAAAAAATTATTTGAACTTTCGGTTGGATTGCCACTCGCAGAATCAGCATGCAAACATCTCCTCCTTCTTCCTGTACACTTTCGTGGAAACTTCTTCTGGTTGTTCATCCATCTCTGGACTTTAATCTTGTTCCAGTACTCAAGATTTTGTTTACACATATGTTTTACATATCTGGCTTATTTGTCTGTAGATTCTTGCCTCTCAGGCAGATGAACTTTGACCTTTGGAGGAAACTTCTTATTAGTTTACTTTTACAAAATGCTTGTTAGGGAGGCAGGGGACTAACTAATCTAGTTTTTTTCCCCCCAGTGGGGCCCAGGAACCCACACTTGGAGCATAGGAACTCTTTGTTGGCTACTGAAGAAGGGGACGGGGCGTAAGAGTGAATTTCCAAAGTTCATTGATGTTAAATCCTGAAATCATTCTATGAATAACTAGTACAGTACAAGAGAAGTCTGAATGGTAGTAGTCTGTACTCAAGGTTTGCAGACCTGTCCGGTCAAAATAGACGCTAGGCACGGTCACTGTTTTGAGTCGTGACAATTTTTTTTGCTTCTTCCAGACGGTGGCCTTTGCATTTTTGCTTCATTTGTAAAATGAAAAGATATAGTTTCTTTGCCCAGCTTCTGCGTTAACTGCATGGTGGGACACTGTGAGCTGCGGCTTTCATTTTTAATGTTTTTTGACTATGACCAACATGGTTGTTTGAATTGTACATTCAGAAAATGGCGCCTGGCTTGTTGCAATATTGGTGGTGCCATTGTGTGATTAAAATTGATCCCGTATGCAACTGCTGATCTGTTGGTGACATCTGCTACCATCGATGTTGAACTGCATTTCTAATGTCAGACTGTGTTAGCACTTCAGATGACTACTGTATGCTTTTAATGCATGTGTATGTTAGTGTGTATGTTGAGACAGCAGTCTGTCAATCTTTCCGCAAGGGACTGTGATAAACATTCTGTGTGTTTTTCGCTGGCACAGGAGAGGAGCAACTATGGGGTGACCCATTTGCAATGAAGCTGAAACTAATATTACCAACATTATCAAGACCTGTTTGATTAAATGTGGAATTACTTAAAAAATATAACCAGAAATCAGTCAGGTGCTGCCTTCTGCACAGGAAAGGTTGACAGCAGTTAATCTCCAGCACAGTTTCAGGTCCTGGTTGTGTGTACTCTCTCAGGCTACTGTTTATCAGTCTCTTTATGTTATCCTTCCACTTGTATCCATGTCTACATCTTGCCCACCTGCCTTCGGCCTTTCCCTACTGTGTTTTTTAAATTTTTAACAGGGCAGAAATATTTCACTTTTCTCTTTGTGTTTAATTTTTTTGTTCTTCAACAACGAACTTTTCATTGGCATTCTCTACAAAAACTTGTGTATTTGGCTTATTCCATGAAAAACAACTCATTCTTTTTTTTTTTTTTTTTTGGTTCCATGAAATAGAGCTCATTCTTTATTTTTTTTTTTTTTTCATAAAATTCAACACTTTCTTTATTTTTGATGCAATGAAATACATCCCATTCTTTTTGTGTGTGTGTGGATTGTATGAAATAAAACCCATTCTTAATTTTTGATTCCATTAAATACAACCCATTCTTTATTTTTTTCTTCCATGAAATACAATCCATTTTTTTTGGGGGTTCCGTGAAATATAACCCATTTTTTAGTTTTGGTTCCATGAAATACAACCCATTCTTTACTTTAGATTCCATGAAATACAACCCATTCTTTACTTTTGATTCCATGAAATACAACCCATTCTTTACTTTAGATTCCATGAAATACAACCCATTCTTTACTTTTGATACCATTAAATACAACCCATTCCTTGCTTTTGATTCCATGAAATTAAACCTATTCTTCTTTAATATTCATTATCTCTAGAGCTCGAATGTGATTTTCTGATTGCTTGTTTATTGCCCAGGACGCTCTCTAAATGTATTCTTTCAACCACTCTCATTTTTTTTTTAGCCCAGTCTCTTCGAAACCTCTGCATTTATTTGTTGACTGATTCAGTACCAAACAACTCATCATGAGTTTAAAAAAATTTTTTTTTATATCAACTGACGTGTCTACCGTGTAACCGATAATTTTATTTTGCTACATTGACTTCCTCTAATCCAGAGCAGAGTTCCAGTTCGGATGTTACCGGTAACCCTGATTATATACATCCATTTCAACTTTACTTCTGAGTGTGGAGTGTCTGCCAGATCCCCTTGTCACTGCCCACTGCACTATATCGTTTGAGCTACTGAATATGTTCCCTGTGCTTAATAATATCTTCAGACACAAACTATTGCTCAAAGTTACAACTTCTTAGAATATATTAGGAGATTATTAAGAGTTTAAAAAAAAAAAAGAACAGAAATAACTAGAAAAGATAACCAAAGAACAATTAGATTGTTTGGTTGGGGTTAACCATCCCAGGCTTGCAGTCTTTTAAATAGAAGAGTGGATTAAAGAAAATAGGTCGTGGTAAGGGAAATTTAAAGCTAGTAGATAGTGCAGGTGGCAGAGAGTCCAAAGTTCAAAAGTTTGACCTGCATGTCTAAAAATAGACATACTCACATGCCACAAGGTCAGGGAAAGTCCAACATACAAATATTCTTAGGCAGATCAGGGGACAGAGACATCATATGCATGCATGTACCATATACAGATGCAAGTCTACTTCTTCTGGGTTTTCCTCTTAAAGGGTGGTTGACTTTTTGTGTTGTGGTTTACAGCTAGGCTGTGGTATTTATGCCTTTCAGCCCAGATTTCAGCAAACCCTTAATTAGTTTAAGCCATTGTGCCTCATTTGTTTTTTCATCTTCTGTGCCATATGATGAGATATTTCAAAACATTATACTTTTTTTTAAATTCAGCTCTTGTACCATACATTATAATATTATTTAATCGTTTAACAAAATGCTTCATATGTTTATTTGACTCCTATACTTAATTTCCATAATGTTTCATTTTTTTTACCACTTATACGCCAGGGATTCAGTGTGAGGCATTGGCTAAATGGTCCTAGGTTCAAATCCAGATTGTGGTGGCTTTTTAAAAAAAGTTACCTGAGCTCCAAGTTCGACTTAGCCTTACAATAGATATGAAAGAAATATAGATAAGCCATACTTGGTCAAATGAAAACTTCTGGAGTCTTTGGTTACTATACTGAGATTTGGACATGTCACCTCAGATAACAACAGCTTTGTTTTTTTAACAGCACCACAAATCTCTTGATATTCTAAGAGAGAGAGAGAGAGAGAAAGGGGGGGGGGGGAGAGTTTGTCCATGCAAAATAGAAAAATAAAGTGGTTTATTTATGACAGACACCAATTGTTGGTTTGTTTTGACACTATGATGACAGCTTTAACCAGGAAGTGTAAACTTTTGTAGTTAAATTATAAGCACGCTAATTCATACTCAGTAACTTCCGTCACCACTACATACGTATTCACACAGCATGGGGAAACTGACACTGGTGTATTATGTATAGTACGGGTGTATCACTTGACATGTCAGGAGCATGTGATGTGATGGGTTTTCTGCATCAGGAGCATGTGATTTGATGGGTTTTCTGTCGAGTGCATGGTTCCCTGTGGAACCATCTTCTTCCTTTTTTTGTTATTGAAGGTCTACAGTAAACCTCATATCTTTTAGTAGGCATATGCTTTCATACTGAAAAACATATAATTTATAAATATTAGAAATGCAGACAGGAATGCATTTTTCTTCTCTTCTTTTTAGTGTTTGCCAACTGTAAACTCCAGCGGAAAGTTCTTTTTTTTCCCCACACTTTTAGACTTAAGTCTTGTTCCAGAACTTGAGTTTTGCATGCACATCCGTTTTACAGATTTGTCTTATTTATATGCTGTTAGTTCTTTACCTCTCAAACAGATGCACTCTGACTTTAAAGGGAACACCACTAATTAGTCAACTTTTACAGCAGGTTTGTTAGGGATACACGAGTTTTATTTTTTTTTTAACTCTTACATACGAATATACATACTTTTACTTAGGTTAGGGCACCGTGGAAACATTTTAATCGAAAAAAGGTGCTGCAACTAAGAACAGTATGAAAAACACTGGCCGAGATGTTGTGCTGTACAAAGGAGGAGCTTCGTCCCTGACTTTAATCTCCCATTGCCATGGGCTGGTATTCACATGCCTCCCTACGGCACAATATTCTCACCTGGAAAGACATAAAGATTTCAATATGTTCTCCATCTAAATAAGTTATTCTCTCACAGGTTCCAGGACTGTCTGTTTGAGTCATGCAACAAGAGAAGTTCATGAAAGAATTTCTGTAGCTTGTTCAGGAGCACGCTGGTCTGTCGCCAGCATTTAAGCAGCTGATCATGGTGTCGAAAGCAAATGTGACTCTGGTTGTACTTGGAGTCTTGGGTGTCGTCTTCCTGGTACTGGGGTGTGTGCTGATTCATGTGTTTACCAACATGATTCATGATCAGGTGGTCCAAGTAAGTATGTCCTTCTCTTAACAAGTTTGGCTGTTTTGGGTAGTTTTTTACCCCCAGGGATTCAAGTGTGTAGGGAAATGAACAGGCAGACAGATTGGCTGGTTCTGGCTAGAAAATTGATACATGGCAAGCTTCTAGTGTGAGTTATGGGACCCCATTTAGAAAAGGGGTAAGGGGGGGATAGTACAGCCACTGCTCCCATAACATGCATGTCTTAGAAGTCAGAGTGCATCTCCCTGAGAGGCAGAGAACCAAAAGTCTGCATACAAATAAGTCAGGTCTGTAAAATGGAAGTGCACCCAAATCGCAAGTCCTAGAGCAAGACCAGAAGTGGATGGACAGCTAGAACTTTCCACCAGAGTTAACCTCTGGTAAAGGTTAAGGACATGAAGATATATGGCAGGATAGTTGTGGTCAGTGCCCTTTGGGAGCTGGTGCACAAGTCTGAGAGGAAAGAGAAGGCTGAACACACAAGTCTGAGAGGAAAGAGAAGACTGAACACACTAGTCTGAGAGGAAAGAGAAGACTGAACACACAAGTCTGAGAGGAAAGAGGAGACTGAACACACTAGTCTGAGAGGAAAGAGAAGACTGAACACACAAGTCTGAGAGGAAAGAGAAGGCTGAACACACAAGTCTGAGAGGAAAGAGAAGGCTGAACACACAAGTCTGAGAGGAAAGAGAAGGCTGAACACACAAGTCTGAGAGGAAAGAGAAGGCTGAACACACTAGTCTGAGAGGAAAGAGAAGGCTGAACACACAAGTCTGAGAGGAAAGAGAAGGCTGAACACACAAGTCTGAGAGGAAAGAGAAGGCTGAACACACTAGTCTGAGAGGAAAGAGAAGGCTGAACACACAAGTCTGAGAGGAAAGAGAAGGCTGAACACACAAGTCTGAGAGGAAAGAGAAGGCTGAACACACAAGTCTGAGAGGAAAGAGAAGACTGAACACACAAGTCTGAGAGGAAAGAGAAGACTGAACACACAAGTCTGAAAGGAAAGAGAAGACTGAAAAACAATCAGACCCTTCCTGGTACCATTAGAATTCAAACTCTGCACTTGCTGCTGAAATTGGGGACCGAGTGCTTATGGCAGTGTGCTGAATGCCATGATTTAGATTCTTAACTCACTGCAGTTGAAGCTTTTATATAGTGATAGTTAATCACAATTTGAATTTTATATTGTTGGATTTAGACATCACCAGAACCCCTGCGTTTTCAGTTTTCAAAATTAATCTTCTTCTGTACTTACCCTTGGCACATTATGTTTTGGTTCACAGTTAGACTATGATATCCTACCCTCCGGTCCAACACATCCAATTTGAGCAAAATACAGGCTGTTCATTGTTGTCCTTATTCTAAACATTGTGTCTATCTTTCCTATCTCCTACACGTATTCTTGTTCAATAGTTATATGTAAAAGACTGCCAGTCCAGTATGATGGGCAGGACAGCTGGCTGCTGACAGTTTAATAAGTTATTAGTTTCCAGCCATGGTTTGCTGATGTAGTTTCCCAATTTCTAAATTTCTATTTCTAGACTGTAGGTCCAATGTTTCCATCACCCAGCTACAGAGTTGAGTGCCTGATGCGACCCTGTGAGCAGCGGTTTTCTTTTTGAACTGCACTGGAAAATGGTGTATTAGCACTTCTGATAACCGCCTTATGCATTTACTTTGTGTGTGCAAGCTTCAAAATTTTGCGGCACTGATGTGTTTTTTCACATTTCTCAAACGATATGGAATTACGGACTTTTTGTTATTTCCAGTGGCAAAGAAATGGATTGATGACATTAAAGACCTTCTCCATCAACATAGAGGAAAATCCAGCCTGCAGTAATATCATTTCATGACTCATCCAAGCATCCCAGTAGCATACGGATGAATTCATTATGCTATATTCATATGTAGTTTTACTTGTGTATTTACATATTTGTATCTATATTTTACTTCACAAGAATTTGCCACTGAAGAACGGGTCAAAGTCTTTCAAGATGTGGTCAGACCCAACAAGCCCAATCTACTTCCAAGTGTGGATGTATGATGTTGTAAACCATCAAGAAGTTCTGAATGGAGACAAGCCATATGTACTTCAGAAAGGACCTTACACTTACAAGTATGTGCAGTTATTTTTTCTTTTCATTGTTGTACATTATGTTTTTTGCTTCTATTATTGTTTTGGAAAAAGGTTAAAGAAAAAGACCCTTTTCACAGGCTTATCAACACTATATGGGTGATGTAGTTATCATGGAGACGAGAGCTAGAGAATGAAGTTAGAAAGATAGGGAGGACATGGGGAGAGCTCCATGTAATGGCGAAGGATAGAACGACTTGGTGTGAGTTGGTTGAGGGCCTATGCTCCATTGGGGGATAGAAAGGCAGAAGAAGAAGTTATCATGCCAGCCACCTTTACTTCTGAAGTAATTTCCTGATACCCATTTTAGACTGAGTGGACCTGGGAGCCTAGGTTGTTTTTATTAAAATTCACCTCAAGGCGAAGTTCTTTTGATAAAAGACGGATGTAAAATCCGACAGTTACTGGTAGCATCGGAATTAAAACTCTTCGCTTGCTGCTGAAGATGGGGATGGGGCGCTTATGTGAGTGTCCTGAGTGCTGTGATATTGATTCTTAAATCAACATTCAACATTCTTTTGATAAAATTGATGTATTTGTTTTTTTGGTTTGGGGGGGGGGGGGGGGGGGGGGGGAGTTTCATTTTAATTCTATACAACTTTGAGTACAGTGTTCTCTCAATGGACCACTATTCTCTTATTAAAGGGCTGAACCAGGTACAAACCTGCAAAACATGTTCTGCAGTTTGCACACTCAGCCCATGTGGACATAATGATCAACTAATCGGACAAAGCCTGTGTATGCGCTTATTATACCCTATCCTGAGATATAGAATGATGACCTATCCATTCTGGTCAAGAAAGTGGTAGCCATCATTGGCCAGATTCTGTTCGCATCTGATAGACATTTTGTTTTACCTTTGAATTTGTGTTTTGCAAAATAAAAACTGGATATAACCATAAAAAATGTTTATTTAAAAAATCTGAACAGAACTGACCAAGTCATAATTGTTTGGTTACCCACTGGACATTATAGATTCAATAAATTATAGATTCAATAAATTATAGATTTAATAAATTATAGATTCAGTAAATTATAGATTCAATAAGTTGTAGACTCAATAAATTATGGATTCAATAAATTTTAGATTCAATAAATCATTGATTCAATAAACACTCATATAAACTAGGTTTCATCCAGACAGCTCCCTGTCACTGTCTTCAAGCTGAGCAGACCACAGAGCATGTCTTGAAAAACAGTCCTCTTCTGGAAGAGCAGCATGTGGCCACAGACAGTAGACCTGACAACTAAGCTTTGGAGAAACCTAAGAGACTTCAGGCAGTCATCCCAATTTTGGACCCATAGTGGATTAAGAGAATAGCCAGAGATCGCTGAAGAAGATTTGTGTTTACTATCTTGTTCTTCTTCGCGTTCACCAGCTGTAAACTGGCGGAAAGTTCTGGTTGTTTGTCCACTTCTGGACTGCAGTCCTGTTCCAGAACCTGAGTGTTGCGTGTGCATCTGTTTTACAGATCTGATTCATTTGTGTGCAGACTGCTGGTTCCTTGCCTCTCAGGCCGATGCACTTCGACTTTGAGGGAAGCTCCCAATTAGTCAACTCTTACGACATGCATTTGGGTAGACAGGGGTCTATTCTTGTTTTTCCACAGGGCCCCGGAACCCACACATCATTTGTGAAGAAATTAAAGTGTAATTATGTTTCTACTGCATCATTTTGCTTGTTTGTTGAACTGTTCAGGATGCAGAGCCATATGTTGAAACTAGTTCCATGTAACATGCTTGAATTATATTTCTAATTTTCAGTCCCAGGAACCTGTTGCAAATGTTGTTATTTATTGAGTAAAGAAAGAGCAGGTTACCACACAGTGCTACAGAATCAGCCACTGTGCCAGCCTGTTAGTTTCTCAGCACACATTTGTAACCTGGAGAAATTGACCAAAGGATGATAACTACCCAGAACCTTTGAAGGTCATCACATTCTGAGGAGAATGGTGCCGCCGAGAGTGACCATTGGAGCGGTCATGGAAAAGACAAAATGTAGATTTAATCACTTAATCACACTGTTGCTGATAGCAGTGGAATTCGAACTCTACACTGGCTGCTGAAGTTGGGGACAGAGTGCTTATGACAGGGGCAGGCAAACTATGGCCCAGTGGCCAAAACTGGCCCACCGAGTAATTTTTTTTACTGGCCAGCGAGGCAGGTGTAAAATTACTATATAGTCGTGTCACTGGTGAGTTCCCAAAATAGCAGAACACAAAAAAAAACATGTTTGTTTATATACAGAAAGAAGAAAAATATCCAGATAACAAAATTCAAAAAAGTTATAACCCAAACAATGATTACCAGAAACTGATGTCACCAAGTCTTTGAATCTGCTATTGAAACATGTTGCAGACTAATTCAGACATGAAAAGACAGTATCTGTTAGCACTATTTGATTTTTTATTAAATATAAGGTGATTACCAATTTTTTCTTCTGTTTGGTAAGTTTGTAGATCACAACAATGCAGCCTCCTTTCTTTGTGACCTACGATAAGGTTCTTCATCATCAAGTGCCTTGCCTGCTCGGCGTAGATGTTCATACATCTCCAGTGATCTCTGTCTTTGGTGTTCTAGATCAATTCTGTTGATGATATTTCTACAAGCCACTGTCTTAAGCCATCCACCATCATTTCTCGTGGTCTGCCTCTTCTACCAGTGATCTTTCCAGTCGTCACGGTATTTTCCAGTGCTCCTTTTCTCATTACATGACCAAAGAACTTTGTTAGTCTCCTTCTCATTGTAGTGTATAATGTTCTACTACAGGGTTGGTAATTGTAAATTTGACCCACAGACAAAAAAAAAAAATAAAAAAGGTTGCCCACTCCTGGCTTGTAGAAATGTCCCGACCGCTGTGATGTATGTTCACACCTTAACTATTGTGTAAAATGCAGTTTTCACTTGTCCAACTATCAAGTTTTAAAATGAATTCTTGTCACAGGGAGATTAAGCAAAAGTTTAACGTGACCTACAACAATAATGGTACGATGAACTACAGGGAGAGAAGCACTTACATCTTCAAGCCAGAGTTGTCTGCTGGGTTAGAGAATGATACATTCGTCTCTGTTAATTTGCCCTTACTGGTGAGTTGTTGCATCTCTGCATCTTTCCTTTTCTTCTTCCTTCCTTTCTCTCGTCCTTACCTTTCTTTTATGCCTCTTTCCTTCCTTTCTTTTTCTCCTCTTTCCTTTCTTCCATCCATCCATTTCTCCTCCCCCTTCTATCCTTACTTCCATCCATGCCTCCTTTCTTGCATTCCTCTTTCCTTCCTTCACTCCTGCCTCCATTTCTTCTTCTCTCTCCTTCCTTTCAACTAAGCATTTAGAAAGAAATTACTATAGATGTGTTTGGAGTGTCATGAAGATAGCCCAACTCTTAACTCAAACAGAGACATGCTCCTCGTGTGGGTTCTGGGGTTCCATTGTGGGGACTAACAATCCCTTAAATGACAGAAGATTGGTGACAAAACAGGCTAACGTACAAAGCATGTTAACTGTTTCAGGGCCAAAGGACAAATAAAGTGTTGCTTTAAAACTAATTTAACTCTCCTCTTGTACTGATGGAGTTATTTGAGGCACATAATTCTCACATAAGATAAATCCATTCATTCATCACATGTTGAACAATGAAGATATCAGATATATTCATTGCCACGTGTGGATCATGTACGAATGTGCCCAGAGCTCTGTGATGTTCATTCACCATAGCTTGCCAACTATAGGGATCAAGCAGTTTGTGTTGAAAAAAATTTTTTTTTAACATATTAATTCTTTGCCATGAATTCCAGAGAAATATGACTAAAAAGCTCAACAAAATAGGAAAAAGGAAAACGTGCACAAAACAACACAACGTAACGTTTCGACCGGGCGGCCTTTTTCAAACAGAAGTGGACTACACAAACGAGGAATGGAGAGTATGTAGATCTCTAAGGGGTGACGTGAGCGACGTTTAAAAAATGTGATGCGGAATAAATGAAATAAAATAAAATAAACGATGGCTAAAAAATATAGTCACAATGCTGGGAATAAAAGAAATGCAAGTGTTAATGATACATAAATGATATTGATAAGAAATAGAATATGGTAATAATATGAAATAAAATAAAATAATTAACATTTAAAATGTAATAAGATTAGAACTATTTAGATGAAGGTATGTTGGATATTGATACCTCTTGGACTAAGAACGCCAAGGCTGTGGATAAGGCGATTTTCCAAAGCGAGGCGGGTAGTATGATCGCCAGAGCAAGATTTTAATGCTGTGACAGATATGTCATCTTTACCGCTGTGGTCAGGGCTATTAAAATGAAGAGGGATTGGTTTGAGTGTCTTCTTGTCGATATCAGAGAGGTGTTCCCGGGAACACAGCCTGATAAATGTCACTGTCATCACAGCCTGATAAATGTCACTGTCATCACAGCCTGATAAATGTCACTGTCATCACAGCCTGATAAATGTCACTGTCATCACAGCCTGATAAATGTCACTGTCATCACAGCCTGATAAATGTCACTGTCATCACAGCCTGATAAATGTCACTGTCATCACAGCCTGATAAATGTCACTGTCATCACAGCCTGATAAATGTCACTGTCATCACAGCCTGATAAATGTCACTGTCATCACAGCCTGATAAATGTCACTGTCATCACAGCCAACCTGATAAATGTCACTATCATCACAGCCTGATAAATGTCACTGTCATCACAGTCTGATAAATGTCACTGTCATCACAGCCAACCTGATAAATGTCACTATCATCACAGCCTGATAAATGTCACTGTCATCACAGCCTGATAAATTTCACTATCATCACAGCCTGATAAATGTCACTGTCATCACAGCCTGATAAATGTCACTGTCATCACAGCCTGATAAATGTCACTGTCATCACAGCCTGATAAATGTCACTATCATCACAGCCGACCTGATAGAAACTTGGTCTTTTTTCAGATCTCCCGCCATGTACACCTTCCCACCCAAAGTGTCAATCCTGCGTCCATCTTTGTGCTGGTTGGCCCCTGCCATTCTTTTCTGCAACTATACTGTCTGCTACTAGTTTTATTTTTGTCTTCTTGTTATGTGGTACTTTGAGAATCTTTCTCTGGCATTTCAGTTCAGAGGCCCTTATTTTTTCCTTAATGACTGCAAGATAGTCGGTGACTCACATCTGTATGTTGCTACAAGGAAGATGCATATAGAATATAAAAAACGTAAATTAATTTTGTGCTATATTTCATAAATAAAATGTAAACTAATTTTTCTGCATATCTTTATAGAAATATTTAACAAATTTTGTCCTATGTGTCATGTAAAACTAATTTTGCCCTGTTTGTCATATAAAAATAGTTTTGTGAAATATGTCATATAAAACTAATTTTGTCCTGTTTATAATTTAAAACTAGTTTTGTCCTTTATGTAAAATAAAATTAATTTTGTCCTGTTTATCATATGAAACTAGTTTTGTCCTATATGTCATATAAAACTAATTTTGTCATGTTTATCATATAAAACTAGTTGGCCCTCTTCCGAATACCGGTCCCAAATTATTGACTGTTAAAAAATCCCATTCAGGGCCTCAAGAGGTCATATAGTTAAAATATGGAACAGGAACACAAGAAACTATGCTTCGTGTTATATAATTTCATGGAAACCAAACTCTTGAGCCTTTGGTATTACAGTTGTAAGTATTCCACCTGTCATGAGGGTGAAGATCAGCATCACCAAAACAGAAATTCTGAAAATAAGTAGAACACCTAATATACTAACTATTCAAGTTAACAACGAACAACTCAAACAAGTGCAGCAATTTAAATACTTGGGGAGCATCTTCACAGATGATGGAAGAATTGATAGGGAACTTGAGGCAAGATGTCAAAAGGCGAACGCAGTAACTTACCAACTCTCCCCACTGCTAAAACACCCAAGCATCACTATGGCACTAAAACGATAACTGATAAAATGCATATTTATACCAACCCTCTGCTACCAATGTCAAACCTGGTCCCTAACAAGAGCACAGGAGAAAAAGATCACGACGTGCGAAATGAGATGCTTACGTAAGGCTGCCAATGTCACAAGGAGAGACAGAGTTCGAAACGAGAACATTAGATCAATTGTAGGAACCACACCATGCCTGCAATACATAAAGAAGCAACAAATCGAGTGGTTTGGCCACTTGATGCGAATGCAAACCGACCAACTGCCTCTACGAGCATACAACGAACAACACTACTGCCCTAGAGCAAGAGGCAGACCGAGAGTACGATGGATAGACAATATATCAGAGATCCTGAGGCAACACGGACTAACAACAACACATGCAACACACCTGGCCCAGGATAGAAAACTGCGACTCCCCACTACGCTGTGAGGCAATTGTGGACAAGACAAGAGACAAGACATGAGGTTGACCAGTGTTCAATTCCCCGCCAGGTGATAATTTATTTTTTAGCCCTGAAAAGGGTGGTTGGCATGTTGTGTTGTGGTTTACAGCTAGGCTGTGATAACGGCAGCGAGATGCTCAGTGGTCATGTCACGGGTAGGTAATCTTCTTTCTTTTGGTTTGTCCCTGAAAGGTAATTTGTTTCAGACACTTATTTACCTCACTCGATGGGAGAGCCCACTTTTCAAGGAACTATTTTCTGTACTGTTGAGAACTCTTGGTGAAAGTTTGTTCGTGAAACTGTCGGTGCATGATCTCATGTGGGGATACAACGACCCATTTTTTGAGACTGTGGATAAGCTGGCCAAATTTTTTAACCTGTCACTTCCAATCCCAGAAAAGTTTGGCCTGTTTTACAATGTAAGTCCACTTTCTGTTGTTAAAGAGGATGGTAATTTAACTGTTTCAGATTCAAGAAACATCATCATCATGTATGATCAGACTGTTACTGGTACCGTGTCAGAATTGGAACTCTGCGCTTATGGGAATGTCCTGTGTGCTGTTTTTAGTTCCTAATTCCACATTCAACATCATCATCATCACAGTTCCATAAAACAGTGTGTCTTTGGGTCACCAGCTGCTGTTGACACTGACCAGTTCCCTCCTCCTCTGTTATATGCAATGGATTTGCGGTTTGCATGTTCGAGGCCTGTCCATTCAGCTAAATTCTGTATCTAGGTCTTTCTTGGTCCACCTCTTCTCCTCTTTACTCTGCAGATCACTGTAGTATCAGAGGCCGGTAGAAGAAACTCACTAAACTCTTATTTATTACTCAATAAAATGTATCTGTGAGAAGAAGTGTTTGAGAATGGCTGTGAATAAAACCAGAAGAGATCGAGTGAGAAATGAGGTGATCGCAAGAACTGTTGAAACAACACCCAACGTCAAATTTATTGAGAAACAAAGAATGAAATGGTTCGGCCATTCAATGAAAATGAAAACAACAATGCCAGTAGCAAGAGCTTACAACCTGAAAATCAAAACATCAAGAGGCAGGGGAAGACCGAGAAGAATGTGGATTGAAGGAGCCACTGACACCTCGAGACTGCATAACATCACAGCATATGAAGCTACTGAGCGTGCCCTGTCTCGGCTGCCGATCGTCTGATGAACTATGACGCCTAGCGGCATAAGCAGATGTTGACAGAAGAAAGAAGAAGAAGAAGAAAATGTTTATACAGAGTGGGGCCCTTCTGCAGCAGTGGTGCTCAGTACAAGACTCATAATGTCTGTTAGCCTCTCTTGCTCAAGCCGGCCTTATCTTCATATGGTGGACCCTGTTCTTCCCTGCAGTCCAGTGGAAGGTTGGGATCGCAACTCCCCAGTGGGAAACTGGATGGGACAACAAACGAGATAAAGATGAAGGGATGAGCCCGCTCTTCCTCTCAAGAGATCCTAAAGGCGGGAATACTGTGCCAGAAGACGAATCAAAAACCACAGTACTACGCAACCCCTGATATATATGTGTATATACAGGGTAATTGAAAAGTCACTCCCTAATTTAAATATTTTAAAATAAAGTCAGGAGATGTGAACCAGCGTCATTGCACACAGTTATAAACCATGAATGCTCTGCCACCAGTACAGACAGCTGATAAGAAACTATCCACCTGTATTATCGTCCGCACAAAACTCTGTGGCTACAGCGACGTTCCTCCATTTACTCCAAAGAACTCTGGTACCCATTTCCTAGATGCTGGGTGAACCCCGGGAACCGCCCAGTTTCAAACACCAGCCGTGGGTTTCAGCCAGTCGCCGCTGGATTTGAAAGCGAGTCTTCTATCAACTGCGCTAATGCTGCCCCTTAAAATATTTAATGTCCCCAAGTATAAGACACACTTTTTTTATTCAAAAATACAGGCTCAAAATACAGTGCACATCTTATACAATAGTAGTAGATTTTACCACATGCTTTGTTAGAAAATATCCCATACAGGTTCTCTTTTGGGAATGCTGGTTCAAGGGACAAAATAGGAAATGTTTTAATGTTAAAAGATCACCCCCCTTCTGGGTTCTATGATGAATAAAATGTGAGTTCAGTAACTTTGCGTAATCATATTTTTTTATCCAAATGTCTTGTCCCAAAATCAAGTTGTGTCTTATACTTGAGATCATCTTATGCTTGGGATAATAATGTACTTATAAATAATTTATTGATGGTAATTTTTGTCACATTCTTGTTTATGTTTGATTTTTAATGTGTGAGAGTGTAATTTTTAAATTTAATCTGCTTGTGTCCATGTTTCCATTTGATTATTGTGTTTGAAATCTTTGAAACATGGCCTGCTAGTTGGGCATGCTCCTGCAGGGTAAGACATTCAGCCACATTAGTATGGCTTCCAGATTTCAAACAAAATATTTGCAGAGTCCATAGCTCCTGGACTGGATTCAATCCATTGTATCAAAAGGATTGCATAAGTTAGAACAGAATGGAGGGCTAGACCGTGAGCCCTGTCTGGCATATATAATGGCACAACTGAATGATGATGATTATCACTAGCATGCCACTTCTGTTAAGTGTTTTGTTTATTGTACTTTCATCAGAAAAACAACTCAGATGACGGCCTGTATCAGATCTACTCTGGCATCAATGGTGTGGATAACTTTGGCATGATTGTCACTTGGAATGAGGAAAGGTTGGAAATAATGTTTTTTTTTTAAAGTTTTAAATTGATTCAGAATATTCTGTGGATTCCTGTATCCCCGGTTTGGGGGGGGGGGACAGATTAATTGGTCCTTAACATGTGTGTTGTAGGAGCCGACTAATTAAGGGTTTTTTGACATCGGATGTGTTGGACCAAAGGGCTTAGATATGGCAGGCTTGCTGTAAACCACAACACAATTTTCCAACTGCCTGTTAAGGACTGGGTCAATCGGTTTTGAGTGCAACTTTTGATGGCAATCCTAGGGATTTTAGCTGGAGCTACATGTTTTGTGCAGTGCTGTCAGCTGGTAGGTATCCATTCTGCAGCGTGGACGTTCGCACGCATGCTCTGTCCTCTGAGCCTGTACCAAGGTATTTCACCTCCCCTGACTGTTGCCTTGAGAAGCTGATTATAATTCTTGCCCCCCTCCCCCTACCCACCTCCCTCTCTCAACTTGATCTCAAAGACTGCATAGACATGCTTTACTCCAAAATCACATAATAGTATTGGCAACCAACCTGGTCCCATTCACAAGCACTGGCAGCTTGTGGGTAGGCAGTGTGGAACTGAAGGTTTCTGTGTGCATGTGTTCAACAGCCTAACACTTTGTTCAACTTATTGTACTCATGCACACGTCTGAGATCAGAAGCTACAGTTCTGCAGACCCACGAGCTGCCACTGTTCACAAGTATGGCCATTTAAGATTAAATCCAATGAAACAAATTCACCCTTTTGACTTTAAACCTAATGGGTTAGTCGTCTGAATGTTATTTTCTGTTTGTGTTGTCATGTAATTTCATCTGAACTCATGTGACTACTCTGTTTTGGAATATTTTCAGCCAGCTCACTTACTGGAATTCAAGTATCGCCAACATGATCAACGGAACAGGTGAGGCTCATGTACAGGATAGATCTAGAATAGATACTTGTTGTTAGTTGCTTATGCTAGTATGTAGGTGTCCCAGAGGGCAGACCAAGTGAGATTGCACAATAATAACCAAGGGTAGAGTAAGGACCGAATCCGCATGAATATACACTCTGGCTCACTCTGACCTCTGGCACACTTACATATTAACGGAAGTGACATACAACAATAACACAGTTTGCTTTTTGATGGTCATAGAAATAAAAAAATGACCTTGCGTCAAGGCAGACTCCAGCTCAGTGAGTATCAAGAAATGTTCTGGGAAATAAAGATGTTGATGAGATACTGCCCACACCATCCTTTAGTTGCTGATTTGTCTATAAAACAACAGCAGCAAAGGCAGTATCTGTCATGGCCATAAAATCTTGCTCTGGCAATCAAACAATTCATTGGCAGATGGGTTTTCCCCCTTTAAAATTGATTTGGCTATCAAGTCAGCCCACGCTAAAATGGGTATAAGGAAATGTCCTGGGAAGCAAAGGTGACTATTATGATGTGGACCCTATCACCCACCAAGTGCGGATTGGTCAATAAAAATGTGCATCCGACATCACATACATGATACGGCACTGGCGTGAAATACGACCCTAACCTTAATGTTGCTCATAAATTACCTCTCCCGGGAAGTAAAGGCGGCCAGCGTGATGCTGACCACATCATCCATCTTGTGCCGATTGGTCTATAAAAATATAGGTCTAGCCCTATATGCCCTATACGCCTAAAGTCGTGGAAAGGGGACCTTTACTTTTTACTTTACTTCAACTACCTCTGTGATACTTGGGTTGGAGACATCTCTAACATTTACCTAATTCAACATGTCAATAAACAACAAGAGTTCCTGTGTGTATTTCATGTTTTTTTTTTTTAGTCTGCACGTTAATGTTTCGTTGCATAGTTGTTTTCTTCTTCTTCTGCTGAAGTGACCTTTAACAAAACAGTTGACGTATTTTATGGCTTACAGCAAGGCTGTGAAATCTGCACCTTCCAGTCCAACACATACAATTTCAGCAAACCCTTCATTAGTTAACCTTTCTGACATGCTTGTTAACGTTAACTGGATCTCGTCTTTTTTTTTGTCCACCCAAAAGATGTGGTCCTGCAACCCACATGGGGATTTGCATAGTTTAACATTTCCCAGAAGTGTTTCACTTCTTTTACTTTATTTAGGTTTATATTGGGCTTTCTTTATTTCCTTCACAGATGGAACCATTTATCCACCTTTTATTGACACTGCAGAAACTAAGTACCTCTTTTCTTCAGATCTCTGCAGGTAAGTACATTGCTCTTTTTTGTTTGATGTTACAGTGTAATGTGGGATTGTTTTATTTCAGTCATTCAGGCCAGTATGGCCTTTAGAGATTATCACTGTCTTATCTGCATGCCTGAAGGTTTTTCTTTCTCTTTGCCAATTTACCAACCCTGGGTAGTAAATTGATACAGGACAAGGCAGATGTGGTCAAGGCCCTTTGGCAACAAGCAACAGAATCAGTAGAGAAAGAAGATTATTATGACCTGGAGAGAATGAGACACCTGGGTGTAACCAGAGGGTCTGGCCGGCTGACTACACTCAAAGGAAAGGCAAGACGGACATTTAAACAGATTGTGACCAGTACCATCAGTATTGGGACTCTGCGCTGGCTGCTGAAGATGAGGATGGAGCATGCATGGGAATGCACCGAGTGCTGTGATGTCAACTCAACTCAGACTCAACCCCGTGTGCTTTCATAGCCATTGCATCCTCAGTGTCCTATATTTAAACCTTCACGGAGGTCACCCTCTGCCTTGTTTTCTGCACTCTCTGTCACCATACACCGCAGACCACCATGGTGCTTTCAGGAGAGGATACTGCTTACGAGGCTGTTCCTCTTGAAGTTCAGGTCTTGCAGGTTGCTGGCGTTTTTCTTCTTCTTGCTCCAGTATATTCTAAGCATTTTTCTTATCATTTTGAAAAGATCAAATTTTCCTCTTCAGAGACTGAGTATGATTCCATGACTCACATCCCTAAGTTTCCATGGGAAAGATGCAGATCTCACATTTTTTTTTTTTTAAACTTAAACTTGCTTGCAGGTTCTTCATGATTGATTTACCATTAGAATACTTGCTTCTACAGTGAAAAGTTGGCTTGATTATTTATTTTTAGCATATTTGGCTCCGGCGTATAATGCCTTCCTTATTTCTTTACTCTGAGAATATTTGCTAAAATTCAAATTCGATGATATTCATCGACTGTAAACTCCTGGTTGCTCATCCACTTCTAAACCCTAGCCTTTGTTCCAGTACTTGAGTGTTGCATGCATATCCATTTTACAGATATGGCTTATTTGTATGCAGACTGTTGGCTCCTTGCTTCTCATGCAGATGCAGTCCGATATTGAAAGAAATGTCAGTGCTGTCTATGTTGACAGTTGAAAAGTTAACTATAGAACCTTAGATATGTATATCTCTGCATGAGAGACAAGGAGCCAACAGTATATTGTTAGGATGACCGCGAAGAGGTGTCTATGATAGTTTTTGACCAGTCTGTGAGCTGGTCCTGGAGCATCACCAGGTGTGCTTCAGCAACTCTGCAACTCAGTATAAACATACATTTATGCATTTGTTATATTCTGGGTTGCAGATCTCTAGGTCTGGAGTACCAGGATGTGGTCAATGTCCGAGGAATAGATCTAGACAAGTTTGTGGCTCCCGACATCATGTTTGCCAACACTACGGTCAACCCTTACAACAAAGGCTTCTGCAACTCAGAATGCCTACCCTCTGGCCTTCTGAATGCTAGCGTTTGCAGACAAAGTGGGTATCTTAGTTATACTTTGTTTTCTTTCTTCTTTAAAAAAAAAAAAAAATTTTTATCATTTGATTAGAAGCAAAAAAAAAACAGAAAAACAGGACACTTTTTGTTTAAAGTAGTGACAAATAAATTAATGAGAAATTACAAAATGATGTGCAGCGAAGTATTCCAATTTAAAAAAAAAATTGCACAATATATTTTTTGTGTTACCACATTATTTAAATTATGCTTTAAAGCAAACCTAAAAGGAACTTTTCTAGTAAATAGCTTTTATCAAGAAACAAAAGTTGACTAAATTTTTTGGGGTGGAGGGGCTTCTGGTCCAGTATGGCAGATAGGTAGGCCGACTGTGTTAGTTTTGAACAGTGGCGAGGCGTGATGAGACTGCATGTGTAAGCAATTTAGACAATGATTACACTGAAGAAGGTATCGTGTGGTATTTTCCTTTTTGTCAGTTCGCTGTTTATAGTATGCGTGTGCAGCTGGCATCAGAATATTTGAAACTGGTAGGCTGTGACACATTACAGGGGCTGCATAACTAACGTAAGCATGCAGCGGGCATTCATATACAATGGTAATATTGTGAAACAAGCTTCACAGGCTTGGCGAGACGTAATCGGAGTGCCGCATTTGTAGTAAATAGTAAACAGTAACAGTAAATAGTACAATAATATATTTTTTGGGCCAGTCGAAAGTGTAAGCTTACAGCCATTACATGCATGTCTCGCCATTGGCTGTAACATTATTTGCTTCTAAATATGGTTTGCTGTTGCATTTCCCTCATTAACGGACAGAAAGTAAATAGTTCTATCACTGATCTACTTAGTTCTGTGCATGGTGTAACACTGTGAGCTGCAGATTGTTTTTTTTTTGTGTGTGTGAATGCTGTTGACTGTGCCCAGTGTGGTTAGTTTTGTAAATTGCAGATTCAGAAAATGACAAATAGCCTGTTGCCATAGAACTGGTGGTGCCTTATTGTGGTTTATATGGATATTTGTATCCAAGTTTTTGTTAATGGTGTTTGGCATTTTTTATTGTGGCCTCTTTTAAAAATTGTTTGCTAATGCTGTAGGGGCTGGGGGGGGGGGGGGGGTGTAAAAAAAGGGGGGGGGGGGGGAGTCCACATGACTTGTATAAAAGCCACAAACTGTGCAGGATAGAAATAAAAATGTTAGTTGAACAGATTACTTTTAAAATGTTTCTGTAAAATTGTATACCAGGTTGGAAAATATTTTGTATAACTTGTGAAACAGATGCACCAGTCATCATGTCCATGCCTCATTTTCTGGGCTGTGATGAAGATGTGGCAAAAGGTGTCAATGGTATGCACCCCAACAGAGAAGAGCACCAGAGTTACATTGATATTGAACCCGTAAGTACATTTTATGTTTGTTGTTTCTCATCTTCTTCACGTTCTTCTTCTTCTTCTGCTGCCTTCTGTCCAACAATGGAGCGTAGACCCTTAACCAACTCACACCAAGTCCTGCTGTCCTTTACTATTGCACACAGCTCTCCCAGTATCCTACCTGTCTTTTTAACTTCACTCTTTAGCTCCCTTCTCCATGTGTCTTTTGCACGGCCCACTATAGCTTTTTATAAGTCCATCCAGGTCAATGGAAATTCCCGTTTTTGTTCAAGTCCGATAGGCCGGTGTGTGTTCACTATGTTTATTATTTAAAGATAAAGTAGTGTGCTATTAGAAAATATAATAATAATGAAAATAATAATATATAGCACACTAATTTATCTTACAAAATGATTATTAATTAAAAAAACGTGTTGCAAATTACTGAAACTACTTTCATTAGTATATAAATCTACTAGATAACCATAGTGAACACACACCGCCCCTCGGAGTTGCACAAAAACGGGAATTTCCATTGACCTAGATGTCCTTATAAAAAGCTATAGTGGGTCGTGGTTTTTTTTGGTTCTACCTTTATTTCTATGCCCTTATGGGTTCCAGTGCAAAGACCTTCTAATTGTATTGTTCTCAGATTTTCTCAGCATGTGTCCTATCCAACGCCAGCATCTTTTTCAACACTTGGTCCACAAGAAGTTATTTAGTTCTCTTCCAAAGCTCACCATTAGTGTTTATTCAATCATACCACTTAATTCCCTCTGTTCTGTGCAGGGACCAGTTACTAAATATTTGTAGTTTATTAGTTTTCAAGGTTTCACTTATAATAAGTTCATTAGACCAGCATTGCATATTCAGAAGAAAAAAAAAAACTAAATAAAAAACAACATAACTAGTTGGTGAAAATTTACAAATAATACACCAGATCTTCATTGTGCTTTTCAGAGAACTGGTGTTGCCATGAATGTTGGCAAAAAGTTGCAGATAAATACCTTCATTGAGAGAGTGGAAGGCTTCAGGTGAATACATCTGTGATTCTAGAGTGTGTTAGCCTGTTTTTTTTTTTTTTTTTCAATTAATGTTTTAACACTATAAAAAAAATTGGCAAGGATTGGCAAACAGTGAGCATAACAGTAAATAGAAAGAAACTATAAATAGTTTCAAGTTTCTTCTTTCTTGGTCAGATAATAACAGATTATCGCAAAAGCGAAATAGAAGTCACTCCAAAAACAAAACAGAAAAATTTGGAATGGCCAGAAATTTTTTCAACACCATACGAAAGATGTCATCATCATCATCAGGTGCCTTGCTGACTGGTGTGGGCGATCATGCCTCACCACAATCTGCGATCTCCTGCAGCATGTATCAGTTCGTGTGCCGACACACCTCCATGCCATGCAACAAGACTGTCAAGAATCTTCTCTCGTTGTCTTCCTCTATCCCGCCTTCCACAGATGTTTCCAGTGGTCACACTGGAAAGATCTTACGAAAGATGTATAAACATTAAAACTGAGAATTGTCAGATGTTATGTGTACTCAACCCTGCTGTATGGGGCAGAGACCTGGACAATAAACACACAGTTGGAACTTGTATTTAGTCTGTGAAGTTGTAGATATACAGAAGAATAGACTGCGTTTCATAAAAATAAAAACAAAGAAGGTCTTAAAAAGACTAAGTATTTAGTCGATAAAGTTGTGGATATACAGAAGAATAACCTGTGTTTCATAAAAATAAAAACAATCAAAGAAGGTTTTGAAAAGACTCGGAATGAAGAAAGAGTTGCTGACAGAAATTTTTAAAAGTCATGAGGGAAACATTTTGGCATAAAACTTGTCATAAAAGCCAAAAGTAAAGAAAAGTAAAGTAAAGATCCTTTTTCATACCTTTAGGCACATTGGGTATTTGGGAAGAGCGCCCATATTTTTACAGATCATCGGCACTAGGTGGGTAATGGGGTTAGCATTACAGTGGCCATCTTTACTTCCCCAGAACAGCCATCCTGGTACCCATTTTAGGCTGGTCGACCTGCGACGCCCCATACCATGATAAAAATCCACACAGCCAGCAGTGGGTTTCGATCACAGTACGTTGGAATTGTGAGTCGGTCTCGCGACACCTAAGTCACAGACACCACTTATAAAAACCATACTGGAGGGAAACGTTGAAGGCAAGTGAGCAAAATGCAGGCAACTGTACAAGTAGAGGGATAACATCAAGAGATGGATGAACAGCAGTGTCAGAGCATATACATTCAGGGATAAGGACTGAGCATGTTGGAGGTCCATTGCAGTCAACCTTCACTGAGAAGACGGTAACTAATTAACTGATCATTATCAGTCATACTGTTGCAGTGTTCGGTCATTAAATTTTCTTTTTTGTTCATTAGTTTGAGAAGTTTTTTGTGTGTGTTTTGTTATTATATCTACATAATGTATATAAATTTTATTAGCTTTTCTTTACTGCACTCATTGGTGTGTCAGGTTCCACTGTTGTTGCTTTAGACCAAATTCTTTGCAGAAAAATGTTGTATTCGGGGCCAAAGTCAGTTTTTTCCAGTGTCTACCCACTACATATTCTTTCTCTTCTTGTTAGTGCATACCAGTTGTAAACTGTGAGAGTAAGTTCTGGTTGTTTGTATTCCTGGACTTTTTAGCACTTACCTATTGTAAAGTGTGAGAGAAATATCTGGTTATTTCGTACTTTTTAGTGTCTATTAATTATAAACTGTGAGAGAAAGTTCTGGTTGTTTCGTACTTCTGGACTTTTTAGCGCTTACCAATAGGAATAAACTCACAGGGAGCAAGTACAACAGGGATCTACCAGTCGTCAGTAGAAATTATCCTCGTCGACACGCGTTTCGGCCCACGATTCCTAGACGCATTCGGAGGTGGGCCCTCCTGAGTTCATGAAGCTCAGGGCTGGTTCCCTACTGCACGGGATTACCGGATGGTGTTTTACTTTCGGCCAGAGACAAGACGACTTGGTGATTTGCTGAAGGTACTGTGAGATAAGAAATCGCCGCGGCAGCCTAATTAAAGCAGTCAGCGTGCCTGGACGACCGAGTGACAAGCTTACGATTGGTTTACCGGACACATGTTGGACTTTTATTAGCAGGTGGCAGAGGATCACTGGCAGAGATTTCAAACTTTCAAACAGAAATTTCAAACTGTGGGACAAAGTTCTAGTTGTTTGTACACTTGGACTTTTTAATTTTAGAGCTTACCAATTCACCACCAAGTAATGCAGAACTGGCCAGTCTATCTGCCTGCTCATTTCCCAACACACCGGCATATTCTTGAGAAAATATCCAAAGGACGCTAACTATTCAGGACCTTTGAAGTGATGCTGGGAAGAACAACAACAGTGAAATACATGCTGCAGATTTCTCCAGTATAAATTGAGAGATATATCTTGTTCAAATATCGTTGAATGCTAACCTTTAGCACCCCACAATAAAAATTCAAATTATTTCCCTTGCCTCCATCTTATTTTTTTCAGATTTTGCGTTTTTATGGAGGAAACATGAAAAACACTATAACTTTTTGGTTTATGAATAATTTTGCATAATTATTTAAACTGAAATGAACAAATGATTTCTGCATACATCGATATGAGTTTTGTTGGTGTATGTTTGATAGGTGATGTGTGAGGACAGAGTGAAATGGGAAAAATGTAAAAAAAAACAGTACAAACATAAAGACTCACCAATTAGTAATGCATCTCCACGTATTCCGTATCTCTAAGAATCTGACACACTGTAAACAGAACTACCTTCACCTACTTCTCCAGACATATCAACTTCGCGACTGATATCGACTGCATGAAAACACAAAATCTAATCGTCAGAGTCAGAATCCATGAAGATTTCAGAAAAATTAAATTCCATTCCGAAGGATGGTGATGGATATCGAACTGGCTTATAAAAATTGAGCCAACAAGCCCATTCGCGGCCATTAGAGGAAGTTAAACCACTGTAGAATAGTTATTTATAGTTTTCAAGTGACGTCAAACGCATAGCTCCGTTTAGTTGGGTATTTTCCCGACCATATAAGGTTGTCGACTATACTCGACTGTGGGGTGCTACGGGATAAGCGGCGGAAGTCCAGTATACTCGACTGTGGGGTGCTAAAGGCTAAAGCCACTTATTTCCTTCTCTAATAGATTGTATTTGTATACCTGTGTGTTAATACTAAAAATGTCAGCTGTTTATCATATTACTTCTTTTTTTTTTTTTTAAGCGAGACCTACAACATCAAGCCAGTCTTCTTCCCCGTCCTGTGGATAAATGAAGTGAGTAGTAATCTTATTGTAGGTATAGTCTTATCTTTCACTCTTACAGCCCTGAGAAGTATGATTAGCTCTTCCCTTTTAATCCAAACATATTGTTTTTTATTGTTGTTTACATTTGAGTTATGAGTTGGATTATCTTCACAGCACTCCGGACACATCCATAGGTGCTTAGATTTTCCCTTTAGCATGTTTATCAGTGTCACATGGTTAATAGTGCCAGTCCTATGCTGGTTGACAAGACTTTTTTGTGTGTCCAGTGTGATTCTCATGCTTGGCTGTGCCGATCTTTACTCCCAATTCTTGTATTCTTAGCAGTAATGTGGACACATTGCTTCCAAAATCCTCTGAATGTCTCATCTCTCTAGGGGCACTGACAGTATCTGCGTGATCCATAGGCCAGCCATCCGCAATTAATTTAGAACCTGCCAATCTATCAGCTCTTTCATTACCAACAACATCTGCATACCTTGGGACAAATATGAAGGTAACTTGGTCAATGCATGCTTAAAAATCTGGCTTCAAAGTAGCATTTTCTAAAAGCTTGCAAAGAAATGTGGCTTCCAGATGGCATTCGGAAAAGTATGCCTAGAAATCTGGCTTTTCAGTGGCATTTGATCAAAGCATGATAGGAAATCTGACTTTACAATGACATTTAAATCTGACTTCCAGTGGCATTTGTTCAGAGCATGACAAGGCAGATGTGGTCAAGGCCCTTTGGAAACAAGCAGTAGAGAAAGAAGATTATAATGGAGAAAGTGAGGCACCTGGGTGTAACCAGAGGGTCTGGCCGGCTCACTACACTCAGAGTAAAAGCAAGACATACATACAACCAGATTGTGACCGGTACTATCAGTATTAGAAGTCTGTGCTGGCTGCTGAAGATGAGGACGGAGCACACATGGGAATGCCCGAGTGCTGTGATATCAATTCTTGACTCAACTCAACTTGTTCAGAGCCTGCTAAAAAAATCTGGCTTCCGGTTGCATTTTGTCATAGCATGCTAATAAACTTGGCTTTCCATTGGCCACTTCCGCTGTGCATTTGCCCTCTTTAAAATTCCTGACCTGAAGTTTTAGTTGTTATTTGCTTCTTTGAACACCAGGTAGAGAATCGTATTTGGGAGGATACTAGCCTTGTGCAAGGACCAGGAAATGCATCCTGAAAACAGTGTTATGTTGCAAAAGTGTGTCAGCAGTATGAGACGTTTAGAAAGCTCCCTTGTAGAGTATAATAATATTGTAGAATAGCAGTTCCCACTTAGTGGTCTGCGGAACAAGTTTAAGGGGTCTGTGGTATAATTTACAAAACAAACAAAAAATCTTCTAACCATTATTTATTTATTTGCAATGTAAAAATAGATGCACAGTTTTCCTTTAATATAACTTAGCGTAGTGGCTAGAAGCTCGGCTCAGTCCTGAAGGTTGTTGGTTCAAATTTGAATTGAGCCAGATTTTGGCGCCCAGGTCGACTAAGATGGGTACCAGGTAAAGTCCTGGGAAGTAAAGATGGCCGGCATGATGTTGACCAAGTGCTAATTGGCCTACAAAATACAGGTCTAGAACTATATGCCCTATACACCTGAATGCACGTAAAAGAGTTCTTCGTTATAAAATATGGGGGTCCATTGCAAACCTTCAGAAGTAAGAAGAATCCATGGGTCTTATCTATTTGGGAACCAGCGTTCTAGAAAGGTTGCGCTGAGTTTCTTGTCATTGAATAGAGTGTAATGATAACCTAGAATGACTGCCCTAAAATTGTTCTTATCACCTTACAGAGTGCAATGATATCAGAAAGTGATGCTGCCGAGTTCCGCAGTGAGGTGCTGGACAAGATAGAGCTGACCAAGGGTGTCCAGTTTGGTCTCATAGGTCTTGGGGCCCTTTTGATGCTGATTGTGGTCATTGTTCTGGTGGCCAGGAAGCTCTGTTTGGTCAGTCATTTGCTTGTTCTTGGTGTCTATTTGTTTACTGTCTAATTATTTTCCTGGCCAATTGAATACCTGCCTACCTCAGTATCTACTTATTGTCATATATCCATCCATCTGTCTGTCTACCTACCTCAGTATCTACTTATTGTCATATATCTATCCATCTGTCTGTCTGCCTGCCTCAGTATCTACTTATTGTCATATATCTATCCATCTGTCTGTCTGCCTGCCTCAGTATCTACTTATTGTCATATATCCATCCATCTGTCTGTCTGCCTACCTCAGTATCTACTTATTATCATATATCCATCCATCTGTCTGTCTACCTACCTCAGTATCTACTTATTGTCATATATCTATCCATCTGTCTGCCTGCCTGCCTGCCTCAGTATCTACTTACTGTCATATATCGATCCATCTGTCTGTCTACCTACCTCAGTATCTACTTATTGTCATATATCCATCCATCTGTCTGTCTACCTACCTCAGTATCTACTTATTGTCATATATCTATCCATCTGTCTGTCTGCCTGCCTCAGTATCTACTTATTGTCATATATCTATCCATCTGTCTGTCTGCCTACCTCAGTATCTACTTATTGTCATATATCTATCCATCTGTCTGTCTACCTGCCTCAGTATCTACTTATTGTCATATATCTATCCATCTGTCTGTCTGCCTGCCTCAGTATCTACTTATTGTCATATATCTATCCATCTGTCTGTCTGCCTACCTCAGTATCTACTTACTGTCATATATCGATCCATCTGTCTGTCTACCTACCTCAGTATCTACTTATTGTCATATATCCATCCATCTGTCTGTCTGCCTGCCTATCTATCTATGTCTGCCTGTCTGTCTGTTCAGCTATCTGTCTGTTTAACTGACTCACCGATCAGTACTTATATCTCTCTTAATCTTTGTATGAATGTGCATTTATATGTTCCTACCTGCTTATATGTACCTACATGCCTACCTTTCCATCTATATGACTATCTATTAAAGGGTAGAATATTAGAAGAATGCCTGTTTGTCTTTCTGTTTATCCTTTGGTTCGTCATTTTATTCTTGTTTGCCTTGTCATCTCCACCTCTATACCTCTAAGCCTGTCTGTTTTCCCCGTAATTTGCAGTTTCCTTCTTCCTTCCTTACAATCTGTACACTTAGTATTAAATGAGATACAGAGGGGCTAAATCACATGTGATGGTGCATCAGCACTTGGGCCTGTACCGGTCAGGACCTGTCTACGCCTCTCAGTGGCCATCCCAGAAACAGATTCCTAGCCCAGGGTCTGGCCAGTACAGATAGGATCCCGAGAAGGCTAACCCGGTCAACAAATGCCCACAGAAGTCGGATGTGTTGGTCTTCATCTTCTTCTTCTTCTCTTTCACCTTGTACCTCAGCGAAGTGTCGGGGATAGATGTAACATTCGTTGATTAGCTCTGTCAAGAGCACTATTAAGACTTATGTTCATTTCTGTAAGTCTATTTTTAATGCAATCACTCCATGTTTTCTGAGGTCTTCCACTCGCTCTATACCCGTTCTAAAGTTTTAGTGTGGTTCGCTGTAGTAGAAAGTACCAGGGCATTCTTGTTAGGTGTCCAAACCACTTCATTTATTGTTCTTTGATGACTTTAAGACTGGCTTTATTCCTAGCATTTGTCTGATTTCGTGACTTCGTATTTTGTGTTTCCTTGAAACTCCTGCAGCTCTTCTAAGGCATTTCATTTCTGTTGTCACAATTTTACGTTCATCAGAGGATGTAAGTGTCCACGTTTGGCACTGATAGCATAGTGTTGGCCAAAAAATAGTTCTGATAAGATTTGCTTTAGTACTCCGGGGTATCTGCTTGTGTGTCAACAGGGAAGATTGAAAAGTTGTGTTGGCCGAAAGGTGCAAATATTGCAGCTATGCTGTAAATGGGCACGATGCAGTTACATCTTAGGATGAACAGAGAAGAAGAACAAAAAGATAGAATCACTGTTTACTTTGAAGCAGGAGTGTTATCTGCCTGAGAGGTGGGGAAAACAGCAGTCTGCGGTGAATAAGTAAAGTAAGAAGAAGACCCTTTTCTGTGCCTTCAGGCGCAATGGGCATATAAGGCTAGGCCTATATTTTATAGACCAATCGGCACTTAATGTGTGATGTGCTTTACTTTCCAGGGTTCCGCATGGTACCTACTCAGGGCTAGGTTGACCTTGGAGCTCTGCAGTGAATAAACCAGATATTTAAAACAAATGTACAAACAAAGCTAATTTCCTTGAATAAGACCATAGTCCAGAAGTGGGTGAACAGCCAGGACATTCCGCTGGAGTTTACAGCCAGTGAACGTGATGAAGAAGAAGGAAGTTGTAAGTGATGAAGCTTATTGTCTGAAATATAACAGTGGATTTACTTGTTAAAACACTGCTCATTTATTTATGTCCTTTCTTCATCCTATTTAAATTGTCTAATGTTGTTTATTTTCAGACCCAAGCCTCACTTACAATTAACAGTGATGACGATGAGCCAATGCTGATTCCTGCTGCATAAACATGACAGATACTGAAATGCACAACTTCCTCTACTTAAAAGATTTTCCTTGGTTTTTTACTGTTCTGACATGAATAACTCTTGAATACCAATCACTATACTGTTTTGATTGTTCTCAGAATCTTCATCTGGAAGGTATACTTTTCTGTAGTTATTACACATATACATTTGGTACAGGAACAATAACTTAATTGTAGCTGCCTATTAGAGGTGTGTTGGGAAACGAACAGGCAGATAGACTGGCTGGTTCTGCACCACTTAGGGGGTAAATGGATGTAAGCCAAGCTGTATGTTGTAAGGGTACTTTGGGAGAGAGTGAACAGTGCCAAGACACAAATAGATTATGTTCTGAGGATAGTGGCACTGCCAGGAGTTATGAGGGAATCTGGCCGACTCTCAACACTCAGGGGAAAGGCGATATAGAAATACAATCAGACAGTTAAGAGGGCTCAGTGGTCTCCAGGCCTTGAGTGCTGGAAGTCCCGGGTTCAAGCCCCATCGAAGATATGGATTTTTCACATGGACTTCTAGTAATTTCCCCTGGTCTATGGGTAGTAAGATCGGACGCCCGTGTTATTGTTGTGCACGTAAAATATCCCCTGGCATTTGGAAATCAAAAAGAGTAGCCTAACGGCACTGACCGGGCTAAACTTTGAGTTAAAAATCTACCCAAAATAGTTCAGGATCCTCGCCGATGCAATAGAGTTCGTGCACCCCGCTGAGATTTTTCTGACTCGGGCTTGAGTTAGAAGTAGAAAGGAGCTCTTATAAGGTTACCCCTTGTGCCAAGATGGTGATCCGTTGTTAAAATAAAATCAGACAGTTACTGGTGCCATCGGAATTAGAACTCTTCGCTTGCTGCTGAAAGATAGGGTGGGAGCCCTGCTGTGTTATGGGACTAAGATGATTTATGTCTCACTAGGGGGTCTTTGTGACGAAGTGGTCAATCTTTTTACCTCGCGCTCTGAATGTTGTGGGTTCGCTCCGTGGCTGTGCCCTTATATTGTAAGTGCAGTTTTTACTAAGATCCCTGGGAATCATTGCCGGAGCTACGGAGCCATATGGGATAAAACTCAGTGCAATGAAGTCGATTCTCTCGAGTTTTAACTTTTAACTTGTTGACAAACCTTATATAAGCCAGTTATAACTCAGAGAGGATGAACAGGGTATTTTTTGGTTATAACCAGTTGATTATGATACCAAAGTGAGTGTTATTGTGAATTGATTATAAATTATAATGATACAGGAATGTGTGTTATTACCAGTTGATTATAATGATACAAGAATTTGTGTTATTATCCAATCCTTTTTAATGATACAAAAATGAATAAAGATGTCAGATGGTTCAAGTAAACAAATAATTCAACTATGAAATCATGGATATTACAATTGAGTCATAGGCATTCAGTATCAGCCCAAATTTGATTTTCTGCGGGACATATTTTTCTGACAGAGATTGAAAGCAGAAAAGGTCAAGCGAAAGCTGCATGTCAGAAATGAAAAATATCTTATGCAATAAATCGCTCTCATTTAATCTCAGGAAGAGGGTGCTAAAATGTGACATAGAACCTGTTCTGCCATATGGCAGCTAATCTTGGAATGTCGCTAAACAAATTAAGAAGAATTGGAAAGCAATAGAGATGTGGTTTCTGAGACTAGTGTTATAAAAACATTGGACGGCCAGTCACCAACAACGATTACTTGAAAGAGGCTAATGAGAGAAGATCTCTGTATACAACAATAAGAAAGAGACAAACACTGTTCTTTGGCCACATAGTGAGAAGAAAGACATTGGAGAACATTGTGACAACTGGAAAGATCAGTGGAAAAAGGGGTAGAGGCAGACCAAGAGAGATGATACTGGATTGGCTAAAATGATGGCATGAAGGGATATCATCAAGAGAGCTGTTCCAATCAACCAGGGATCATGATCTGTGGAGATGAATAAGCGCCTACGCCAGATGGCAGGGCACATGATGATGATGATGATATTATTCTGACCTGATCTCTGCATACCATTATTCACTTTTAGAGGCAACTTCAGGAGACTGGCTCAGTCTCTCTCCAGCTCTCCCGCCTCATGGCTCTTTTCCTACTCATGAAGTCACTTGCCGTATGTCCTGTCCCCATCTTCCTGCTTGACCCCTGCTGCTTCTCTTTCCTGGTACCATGCCTTTTGTTACTCTTTCCAATTCGCCATGGAGCTTGATATGGGCAGACAATTTCAGTTTCCAAGACAATATACTACTGTTTACCAGCCAGTCTTCCTTGATGTTCAGATCTCTTAAGATGACAGTATATAATTTCTTTTCTTTGTCCATGGTTTTGTAAGAATCTTTTTACAGCTGTAAACTCTGGCAGAAATTTCTGGTTGTTTGTCCACCTGTGGACTTTAGTCTTGTTTCAGAACCTGAGTGTTGCGTGCACAATCTGTTTAACAGATCCGACTTAATTATATGCAGATTGTCTGTTCCTTGCCTCACAGGCAGCTACATTCTGACTTTGAAGGAAACCCCCAGTTAGTGGACTCCTACGACATGCTTGTTGGGGAGGCAGTGAGTCTATTCTAGTTTTCCCCAAAATGGGCGCCCCAGAACCCACACGGGGATGCCATGATCTTGCACAGATGTTCTGCTATCCAGGAAATCATCATGATTAATTTATTTGTTTTTGATGTGTGATCAGCTACTGCCCATGCGTCCCAAACAACAGATCATGTGATCCAACTTTTATGATGAACATTTGACCCTAAATGTTAAAATTCAACATAGTATGTTTTATGTTATAATTTATGCTGCTCTCACAGAAACGTAATGCATGTATGCTTGATTCCATATGGTTAAGTACTCCTTAGGCATCTCATGTAAGGTCTTATGGGACTGAAAGAGTTCAGGCTGTTCCTGTTGATCCAGCTCCTCCCCACCCTTCACCAGGACTAATAGAGTGTAGCCAAAGAGTTAGACTGTTCCTGTTGATACAGCTGCTGCCCACCCTTCACCAGGACTAATAGAGTGTAGCCAAAGAGTTAGACTGTTCCTGTTGATACAGCTGCTGCCCACCCTTCACCAGGACTAATAGAGTGTAGCCACAGAGTTATACTGTTCCTGTTGATCCAGCTGCTGCCCACCCTTCACAAGGACTAATAGAGTGTAGCCACAGAGTTATACTGGATTATTGCTGACATAAAGATTGCTGTAATTTGTTGTTGCACTGTTTCTTCATCTGCTGACTGTGACAACCCTTCTCATCTGTGATTGTTGCTTTGTGTCTTAAAATGTTATCCAGTTGATTTTAATGATACAAGAATTAATGTTATAACCAATTCAGATTATGATACCAGAGTGAGTGTTGTTGTGAATTGATTATAAATTATACTGATACAGGAATGTGTGTTATTATCAGTTGATTATAATGATTCAAGAATTTGTGTTATTATCCAATCCTTTCGAATGATACAAGAATTTGTGTTATTACCAGTTGATTATAATGATACCAGAATGGGTTATACCAGAATTGATTATAAATTATAATCATACAGGAATGTATGTTGTTAGCAATTGATTATAATGACACAGGAATGTGCGTTATCAACAATTGGTTATAATGACACATGAATGCGCGTTATCAACATTTGGTTATAATGACACATGAATGCGCGTTATCAACAATTGGTTATAATGATACAGGAATGTGTGTTATCAACAATTGGTTATAATGATACAGGAATGCGTGTTATACAAAATTATGATACAGGAAAGTTTGTTATCAACAGTTGATTATAATGATACAAGAATTTATGTCATTATCCAATCCTTTTTAATAATACAAGAATTTGTGTTATTACAAATTCATTATAATGTAAAAAGAATTCTTGTCATTATCCAATCCTTTTTAATGATACAAAAATTTGTGTTACCAATTGATTATAATGATACAAGAATTTGTGTTACCAATTGATTATAATGATACAAGAATTTGTGTTACCAATTGATTATAATGATACAAGAATTTGTGTTACCAATTGATTATAATGATACAAGAATTTGTGTTACCAATTGATTATAATGATACAAGAATTTGTGTTACCAATTGATTATAATGATACAAGAATTTGTGTTACCAATTGATTATAATGATACAAGAATTTGTGTTACCAATTGATTATAATGATACAAGAATTTGTTTTGCAATCATGTTTGTTTTAATATTACAAAAATGTGTGTTTGTTTCCAATCTATTTGTAAAACAAAAAAATTGATATTGTAATCCAATTGATTTTAATTATACAAGAATGTTTTTGTTAGCAATTTGTTTTAAATATACAGGAGTTATCATCGAGTGCGTTTTAATGGTTCACAGCTTTGTTACATTTGGGATGACAGTAAAAAAAAAAAAACCTTTTCACACCTTTTAAGCGCATCGGGCATATGAGAAAAGCACCCAAATTTTTACAGACCAATCAGCACTGGGCCGGTAATGTGGTCAGCATTATGCCGGCCGTCTTTACTTCCCAAGGACTTACATCCTGGTAACCGTTTGAAGCTGAGTTGACCTGCGATGCCCCATACCATGATAAAAATCCACGCAGCCAGCAGTGGGTTTCGATCGTGGTACATTGGAATTACGAGTCCGACTTGCAGCGCCTAACATTTGTGATGATATCTGTGTTTATTGAAGTTATATCTTGTATTTCTTGCACATAAGCTTTATTTGATATCTCTGCTTCGATCAGCTACCACAAAATTAATATGAGTTTGTACACTTTGACACTTAACTCTTTTTGTCCTATATATTTTTTTAAAATTAAACAATGTCTGTGCTAATGTTTCTGTGTCTTAGAGCAACAGTTTTGGGTGCTTTATTAATATCCTACCCCAAACAGGGAAAATCCACAGGTCACGAGGCAGTCTGATATTTCAGGGAGTGGTAGATAGGCTGCATGCAGTCGTGAAACCTAGGCTGCATTCTCTCGTGGGACATAGGTAGGTTGAGGTTAAGGC